CTATCACTTTCGGGAAGAGAGAGAGGGATAATATTTGTTTAATTTTTTTGTTGAACGAAAAAGAAAAAAAAAGAAAAAGAAAACCAAACCAAACCAAAAAATTGAGAGGGGAGGATTGGGTGGGGGCGACTAGCGGTGATGACCCAGTAAGGTGGGGGTGGGTGACGTGATGAGATGGTGGCGAGCAAGGAGGAGAAGATGGGGTGCTAGGGTTTAGGGAAGAAGGTGGGGGCAGCTAGAAATAGTTTTTATTTTTTATTTTTAAGTTTATATATTTATTTATATTTTATATTTGCTTAAAAAAATTGTTATTTATTTTGAAAATGAAAAGGAAATAATATTAAAATGAAGTAAAAAGAAATTAATGTAGAGTAAAGGTAGAATAGGAAAGAGAAAGAACAAAAAAGAATAAAATTGATTAAAAAGTATTAAAAAGCAAAATGGAGTATAAGTGGAGAAAAGAGGAGTAGGAAAATCAACTCCCTAAATTATAGAGATGTGAAGTTTCACTACTAGAAAAACCCTCAACAGGGACCCTTTTATTGGAGACTAAAATAAAAACAGTCTCTATAACTGATAATAGAAATAGTCTCTATAAAATGATAAAAAGGGGACATTATTCAGGGAGTCTCTCTAAAACCCCTAGGGTTCCACTAGGGTTTCTAGGAGAGTTATAGTTTTATTGTGGCGGACGATGATGACTACCACTCATCAATGTTCTACACTGTGGTGGCAGTGTATGTTCTGGGGAAGCAGTCGGTGGTTCCTTCACAGATTTGGCACCGGGTTTTGGAGGGGGCTTTGGCTTCTCGAGACCTTCCTTAGCTCTATGGATGATTTGATGACTCGTTTTGCAGCCTGCTTTGCCTTAACCAATGAGGAACAGGCTGAACTAGTGGTAGAACAACATGAGGTCAAAGATCTGCTAACTTCAAAGTTCTTACTTGTGGGAAAACTAACCCGGAAACCATATAATAAGGAGGCTTTCAAGCGCACGATGGCGTCATTGTGGCACCCAAAGGTACAAGTCCAGATTATCAATATGGAGGAGGATAGGTTTGTGTTCTCGTTTCAGACCCAGGGGCTTGCGACACTATCAGGAGTGGTGGACCCTGGACTTTCAATCATTCTCTATTGATCATGGCTGCAGCGGATGGATTACTTGATTCGCTTACTATACCTCTACGATACCAAGAGTTCTGGGTGCAAGTTAAAGGCCTTCCCTTAGTTTTTATGACTCGAGCTATGGGGAAACTGATTGGCGATATGCTCGGGAACTATGTTGTGACTGATCAGAGCAGATGAAGTGATTGCTTCGAAAGTTTCTTACGCATTTGGGTACTCTTGGATGTCAATTGGCCCTTGAGGCATTGGTGGGCGGTATGAGAAACTGCTAATCACATGCTACCTGTGTGGCATGCTGGACCATGGTGAGAAAAAGTATGGCCTTTACACAGGGGAGGAAATGGACGATACTGATAAACCATATGGACTATGGTTTCAGCAAGATGTTTTCGGCCTCAATTATCGCAAACCCAAAGGGCAGCGTTTTGGTCTGCCTTCCTCGGAGGGGTGGTCGATTCGTGCGTCGATGAAGGTGGAAGATGGGGAGACAGAGGCCAGCGTGGAACCTGCACATGAGGACTGTAGGGCTGAAGTGGCGGAGTCGACTAGGTCCTCAAATCATGCATTAATTGCATGCGACCTCAATAGCGGAATTCACGTGGTAGATGGCATCCCAGAAGAGGAAAAAGATTGGAGACTTATATTCCAGACCTAAAATGGCCCGCCAGATTTTGTGGTTGTTTTGGAAGGTGCTTTTGTGGGTCTAAATATTGCCTTAATTGAGCAAGAAAATCATGGCGCTGCTGTCATTGGCACACAATTGACTTTGGGGCCATTAAGTAGGGAGCCAGATATAGATGGGCAATTTTTAAGGGACCCAGTTACAGTACTTTCTTTTGGGCCTGAGCCCATTGATATAGTACATGACGACTCATTTCATCTCAGCCCCATTATTCGGAGGATTACAACACAAGATAGAGTGGATGGTGGTAAGCGTCCAAGTAAACCGAAGGGAAGTGGGTGTCGGACTAGCCCACGACGAAGTAGAATGGTGAATTCAAATGGGAAACGCAGTCTGAATTTGGTGTCTCAGTTGGAGTGTATGCATGTTGGAAAATGTTCATGTCTCTCTTTTGCACCGTCTCGTTCTATGATGGGATCAGCAGAGGTTGGTGAGGTCCAACCCTGTCGGGCACCATGAATCTGTTAAGCTGGAACTGCCAAGGGCTCGGGAACCCTTGGACAGTTAAAGCCTTACACAGATTAATCCGCAATGAAGATCCCAAGATTGTTTTTTTCAGTGAAACTTGTAGCTCAATGGTAGCTATGGAGAAGATTCGAAATAAGCTGGGTTTTCGTCAGAGTATTGTGGTTGAGAGTGCTGGGGCATCCGGTGGTTGATGCCTTTTATGGACGGAGGAGGTTGACATTCACGCTCTCTCTTTTAGTCATCACCATATTGATGTTGAGGTGCAGGTGCTAGGCGTGCATGGAAAATGGCAGTTGACTGGCTTTTATGGTCACCCAATAACTTCTGAAAGATACAAGTCATGGGAGCTATTGGGCCGATTGGGTATCGCTAGTTCTCTCCCGTGGGTATGCTTAGGTGATTTCAATGAGATACTGGCAGCCCATGAAAAATTGGGAGGAGCAGTACGAAATGAACGCCAAATGCAAAACTTTAGACAAGCTATTGATAGTTGTGGTTTGAAGGACCTTGGATACACAGGCCCCAAATTTACTTGGTGGCGTATTGGCCCAGAGGATATCAGAGTGCATCTGGACCATGGACTGGCAACCTGGGAGTGGTGCAGGATGTTCCCTCAGGCCAAGGTGTTTTATTTAAACCCTTCGAAGTCAGACCATCTGCCTATTTGATTGTCTTTAGGCTTGGGTGTGCACTGTTATGAAATTATTGCAAGCGCACAATTCATACAAGTAATATAGAAATAAGTAGAGTGTCATTCCCACGAAGACTGTAATTTCCTATTAACTACCAATTATGATTAATTCAAAAGTTTATTTGAATAGATGATTAAGAAGATTGATTGATTTAAGTAAACTAAAAAAATTATGAAAAATAGCAATTTAATTCATGATAGAAAATCAAGATAGTGAGACACTAGAGCATCCGATTTCACCATAACCAATTCCACTTAATTTTTATAGCCAATTAACCCTAATTACTACCCGTGTTGACAGTTGGTTTCTCCTAATTCATTCGATATCCCCTCTCGGGCTCAACCAAAAGTATTCTTAATTAACAACCCATTCTCTCTCGAGCAAAGGATTTAGAAAACTAAGAACCCATTAAGTTCTATGAGAACCTACAAGAAAACTGCATGAGTCATGTTAGTCCCTCTCGGGCACTCATTCAAGTCATGGTATTTGTTACAAGAAGCAAACACCAAACATCTCCTCTCGGTCTCCGCTTGGATCATCAATTAAATATTAGCTAGATATTTAAATCATTAAGAACAGTAACAAATACTCAACATGGGATAATAATAAGGAATTAATATAACTATAAAAATTAAGTATTCATGGTTAGGCTACATCGTAGCCTTAACAAGGAAAATTAGTTCATGACAAAAGAAAAGATAAATAAGAGAATTGTTGTCATAAAACCGATTTGGCCGATGGATTTGATCTCTGGATTCTCCACATCAACATAACGAATTCTTGGCTCTCTCCCTGATATATTTGTGGGTGTATGAAAGTTGTGTATGGGAAGATGATGGAAAAGATGATGGTATGAAGAGATCCTAGGGTGACCTTATATAGTATAAAACAACTAAACGCTACTTCAAAAAGGTCTAGAAAAACTCTCCTAAAGCAAAACAAAATCTCAAACAATTAAGGAAACAAACTAGCAAAGAATCCTTCTTTGACTAGGAAACACGACACGTCAGCCAACTTGCACGCACGTTTTGGGGTTGTTCCACTTCCTAGAAAATTCTGGAAAAATATGAGAAACGTAGCTTTATCTCTAAGCTTTCCAAGCATATATTACACACCACTAGGAAAAATCGGAAAGATATTCAAATCTTCACTCTTCCACAGCAGTGCAGTTCTGACGGGATTTCAACTTAGGCTGTCTTGACTTGCAGGTCTGGAGCATTTGGCTTGGTAGAAAATTATGAAACTTTGATACAATGATCTTCAATATCTTAGCTTTCTTCTACAATTGGCCTTGCACTAAAATTCATTCGAAAAGTCGATTTTCAGTTGAAATCCTTCCAAGAGCGCAGAATAGCTGAAAATAAGGAAAGTAAAGTAATAATA